CACAGTCAGTTTGTTGCAAAGATGAGACTTGAAACCAGGTTTTCCTGGTTCTGAGCAGACTAAAAATCTTCTGTGGGATTTTTTTTTTAATGTACTATATAATTCTTGAAAAATTCCAAATTTTTTGTATTTTGACTTGACATTTTCTTGATATTTTGAGGGATATATGGGCATTTATCAGCATCAGGAAACTAATACAATGTAAGAAGGACATTAATATTTCAGGAAATGGTACAATTGCTTTTATATATAGATGCATCCATATATATGTATATTCACCACAAAAAAAGGAAAACTTCAACTAAAATGAAGATCAGAGAAATATAGATTCAGAGCTGAATAGGACTCAAAAGGAACCCAAATTGCTCATTTTACAGATAAGGAAACTGAGAGTTGCCCAGGGTAACAATGACCTGGCAATGGCAGACCCAGGATATAGTGTCTTTCCACTGTAACATGACGCCTCTTAGTACATAGCCCAATAGTTGGTATTCTTGGGCTTATTGACCACTAAGCTACTGTTTTGGTTTTGAGTCTTACTTACCTAAACTCTTCCATTGATCAAGATTTCTATTTTTAGAGAGCACCAAATGCTACTTAATATTGAAACACCCCTTCTGGGATCATTCCCCTAACATTCATTCACATTTTCAGATTGGGTTCTCAAGAAAGTGAATCTGACTAGTACCATCAGTCTTACTTTTCTAGGAGTAACTCTTAGGGCCTAGATTTTTGTAATGGTCACTCACACACTCCCACTGGTATGCTTTACATTGATAATCAGCTAGTCTTAATTAGCTTTCTATTAAAAGCTTTTCTCCACCTGCTGTAGTCCTTGAATTCAAGTCTACCACCATCATGCTCCCAGGAAAAGTTCATCACCAGGAAGTTCATCATCCTGAGAAGATGAGAGGGTCAGCTTCTGTCCTCAATCTCTTCCTTTCCCTCCTGGCAGAATCAAACTGTCCTTTGGAGAAGGGTGGAGGGAGGAAACTATAGAGATATCTCTTCAAGGCTCCACATGAGCCACATCTGGATGAATCCATTTGGACCTGATGGGGTGATGGGACCTGGACCCCAAAAAAAGACCATGTCTTTGAAAGCAACCCAGTCCCTGAATTTTCCCACACACTTCAGCAGCTCCAGTCACTGGCATCTTGCCCAAGGCATCTGGCCCAGCCCAGCCCACCTAGAGACTCAACTGTCCTTTCACAGTAGCTCTCAGTCCACCCCAAACCACTTAATACACCTTTTATAGACTTAAGTCCTTTCACTGTTGTACCTCCCCCCCGGCTATTTACCACTCCTTAGTCTCACCCAGATCTTTTCACTTTTCCTTTTTTTTTTTTTTTGTATGTAAGTATCAATCTCACCCACATCAAGGCCGAGGCTTGAGTGATTGAATTCTTTCCAGGCAGACTCGCCTGTACCCTGACATTTGAGGGTTCTCAGCAACCCCAAACCACATCATATTTGGTGGCCCTGTTACAGGGAACTACCTAACCCCCTCAAGCCCTTCTCTAATCAAGACTAGAAGGTACATAAGCCTCCTTTCTCTCTGTTCTTTTCTTGGTCTGCAGTTGGGGTCACTTTCCAAGTACCTATGAAGGTTTGGCGTTGCTTTTTGAGCCTAATGCTCTCAGGCTCCAGTTGGGTCAGATGGTTATGAGGCTGTCTCAGACACAGGCACACCTTCTGCCACATGGGGACACCCTATCTGGAAACTTATGCCCAATTCTCTTTATTCTCTAGGATGGTAGGAAATTGGGAAAACTGTAGGTGCTTTTTGGTTTCCTGAGCCTTACAGGCAAAAATTGGGCCAATCTTTTTCAATTCCCAAAACTTTGCCCTGGGGTTATCTTTTAAAGAATGGGAAAAGTTCATTTTCTCTTGAGACCTCAAAAAGAAATGGCTTGTGTTCTTTTGCAACATAGCTTGGCCTCAGTACCACCTGAAGGACCAAGAAACATGGACTGTTTTGGGGTCTTTGCAATACAATACTCTCTTACAGCTAGATTTATATTAATGCTGAGAAAGGAGACAGATGGAACTACTGTACTTTATAGCTTTCATAACTCTCCCACAAGATCCCACTCTGGAAAAATTGTATGATGCTCATAGCTAGATTCACCCCACAGAAGGAGAATGGGAACCAACTTGATATCTTAGACAATCCTCTTCTTGTGGCCCCCAGGGCTTTGGCCCCTAGGTCATCTATGCCACCCTCTTCCCCTCCACTGCCCTCTCCTGCTGCTCCCATCCTTTCTCCACCCTCTCCTGCTGGCACTCTTGCTGTTTCCCCTCACCTCCCTCCCCTTCCTCCAGTGCCAGCTAACTCCTACCAGGAACTTCATAGCTCCTGGCATGAGGATCCTTCCCTTTACCCGCTGGATCCTCTGGCCTTGCAACCAAATCCAGTGGAATCCAGCTCCCCAAGAGCCCACACCCCCCACCTCCTCCCTCACCAGGAGTGAGACCTCTTATCTCTCTTCCTCCCAACCCCCAATTCCACTATACCTTCAGGGCTTTTTCCTCTAAGGGAAGTAGCTGCCTTGCCCAGTGGGACAATTAGAATGCCCATGTCAATTCTCAATGTCTGACCTCACTCAGGTTAAAGAGAAACTGGGTCAGCACTCTGAAGATCCCACCAAGTTTACTGAGGGCTTTAGGGATGTCTCCCTTCAATCTGAGCTTTCCTGGGGAGAACTCCATCTCCTCTTCTCCACCTATTGTACCATTGAGGAGAAGAGGAGAATCTTGGAATAGGCCCAGAAGTTTGAGGATCATGTGGCTAGCATTGTCCTCCCTGGATATCCTCCAGGGGTGGCTGCTATTCCCACTAATGACCCCAGATGGGATTATCAAAACAATAAGTAGAAAGAGAAACCATATGGTGATTTTCCTCCTAGAAGGCTTAAAAAGTGGATTTCAGAAGCAAATTACTTACAAAATTAAGGAAATCACTCAAGGAGCAAAGATGAAAACCCTGCCCTTTTCCAGGGCTGGCTGGAAGGAGCTATCAGGAAGTACACCAGTTTAGACCCCACCTTTACAGAGGGGGCAGCCATTCTTGGCATGTACTTCATTAGTCAGTCTACCCAGGTGTTCAGAGGAAACTAGAAATTAGCAATGGAACCCCAAACACCTTAGGCCCAATTAATGGAGATGGTCTTTGGAATCTTTAACAATAGAAACCTAGCTGCAGCAGAGGAGAAAGAATGCAGAGCTAGGACTAAGAAAAGAGAACAGGCTCAACTCTTGGCCGCTGTAATGGCCTGGGAAAAAAACTCAATGACACTCCTAGAGACTGGGGCAATGGGGAAACTTGCTTTTGATGCAAGAAAGAGGGCCACTGTTACAGTGAGTGCCCCTCCAGGGTGTCTCTCCTCCCCCCCCCCCCAGGAAACCCCAAAGACTGGAAACTCTGAGACCATGCCCAAAATGTAACCAGGGGGGACATTGGGGGAAGGAGTGTCCCCAAGGTAGGAAAGGTGGTGGAGCTGCCTTTCAGTACCCTGTCCTCCAGTATTCTCAAGACTCAGAATGATGGGGAAAGCCTGGGGCTCAGCCATGTTCCCACCTTCTCCATCTCTCTGGCTGAACCCTGGGCAAAGATTGAGGTCGAAGGTAAGAGTAACCACTTCCTCATAAATACGGGAGCTACGTTCTCTGTTTTAACCCAACACTCTGTCCTTACCTGCCCCTCTCACTGGGTCATGGGCATTGAAGGGAAACTTAAGGGCTGTTGAGAGACATACACTCTCCACTGCCTGTTTGAGCATCTGTTGCTTAACCACTCCTTATTTATCCTCTCCTCTTGTCCTGCCCCTTTGTTGGGAAAGGACCTGAAGGTGAAAATGGGCAGACAATTTTCTCTAGTTAACCCTCCCATCTCCCTTTTGCCTCTGCTTACCAGACCTTCCGCATTCCCCCAGAAGTGTTTGGGCCAGTTGTTCCTGTGCCCAGGAATTCCTGGGCAATCTACTTATGTCACCACAGCCATCATTCGCCTCTGAGACCCTAATGTGTTCCCCCATCATCACCAACATCCAATTAATCCCAAGGCTTAGAAGGGACTGCAACTACTGATTGAAAAATTCCTTAAATATGAAATTCTTATCCCTTGCCAGTCCCCAGGCAATACCCCTATCCTTCCTGTGAAAAAGCCTAATGGTGAGTATCGCATGGTTCGAGATCTCAGGGCTGTTAATGAAGCTGTTATTCCTATCCATCCCATAGTCCCTAACCCACATACTATACAAACTCAGATCCCTGGGGGTACCCAATGGTTTTCTACCTTGGATCTCAAAGGTGCCTTTTTTCTGTATACCTCTTCATACAGACTCACAATTTATTTTTGCCTTTGAATGGACACCACCTTGGGGAATGAAATCCATGCCGACTAACATGGACAGTTTTGCCCCAAGATTTTCAGGATAGCTCCCACCTATTTGGCCAGGCCTTGGGAAAAGATTTAAGGGATCTGGAACTATCAGATAGTAGCTTAAATCAGTACAGGGACCATATTCTCATTTGTAGTCCCACTTGGGAGGCTTCTTTGGCTGCAGTCACAGGAGTCCTTAATTTTTTTTTAAGTTTAAACTGTTTCCCTTTTATTAAGGTCCAAGTAAATATTATACAGACTGGGACTCAATAAAGAAAAACATGTTCAAATAATATTTTATCATCAGCATCTCCAGGCAAATGTGTATAATCTAGTAGCATTACCAATAAATCCTTGGGAAGCCCATCCACAAGAGTTTATGCTTTGTCCAGGCAGTAGAGATTCCCAATTCATCTAAAGTTGGTCTAAGTTCCTGGATAATATTTGAGTAGATTTCCTTATGAGGTCCTACTTTGTCCTTTACAACCTCTAGAATAAGAACTGCACTAGCAAAATTATCTAACCATCTGCATGCCCTCAAAGCAGCATCAATGATTCAGGATTCTGGAACAGGTCATAGCCAACCAATGTATTCATTCCTTTTCATAATTCCCAGGCATCAAGATCTGCTTTGCTGAAGTATGTTGCCCAGCAAGCATCAAACTCTTCATTTGTCTCATGGGACCCATGGGAATAGCAGCAAACTGACTGGATAGTGATGGCAGCACTAGAGGAAGAGGATGACGAGGAGGAGGGGGCTGCAGTCCCTAGCTTCGGTAGCAGGACCTATACCGAGGTGAAGTAGTGGTAGAAAGCAGGGGCCAGCATGGCGACAGTGGGAGAAGGAGACAGACTGACCAAGGCTGCTTAGGACAGAGGCTGAGGAACGAGAGCCAGGAGCTCTTAATTTCTTCGGCACTTGAGGCTATGGGGTCTCTCTGAATAAAGTCCAAATAGCAAGTCAAACTGTAAAGTATCTGGGTCATGAACTAATGACCACCTCTCACTCCTTAGCTTCAGAGAGAAAAAGGGCAATCCTGTCTATCTCTGTTCCAGCCTCTAAAAGGCAACTCTGAATTTTTCTAGGCATGGCTAGATTTTGTAGACTCTGGATCCCTAATTTTGGTCTTATTGCTAATCCCCTTCTTTACTCAAGGCCCTGACTCACTCCCTCTAGAGAGGGGCCCTGACTAAGCTAAGGCCTTTGAGACTCTGAAAACTAAATTGACCACCACTCCAGCATTAACTCTACCCAATCTAGACAAACCTTTCACTCTGTGTTGATGAAAGGAGACGACAGGTTTTGGGAGTCCCTTAAAACCTGACCCCAGGCTGGTTGCCTATTTCTCAAAACAATTAGACTCTGTGGCTGCTGGATGGCTTTCATGTCTCCGGGCAGTAGCTGCTATGGCCATTCTAATTAAGGAAGCCTCAAAATTTACACTTGGCCTCTGCAAATGGGAGGATAATTCCCTAGTTAAACTGGGAAACTCATTAGGCTGAGGAGTGGGGATGGGGATGGGAGTCCAAGATTGTTGGGTTTGCCACTCTCACCCACAGGGCAACTCTCTTCTCCCACCATGTGCCATCTTTACAAAAGCCCCCCTCCCTAACATGACTTCCTAAGAGATTTTTGCCACCCTATTTATGCTGGCCGCTCCTTTATGGGTTATTCTATCCTGACATCTTGCTTCTCCACAAGTGAATGTTTCCTTGCTTGTGAGACAAGCTCCAGGGCCACTGGACAGGTTAATACCCCTATTGAGGGAGGACTTGTAAAGGTTTCTGTTGATCTTTTTTTATCTATACTACCTGTGCAGATACCACTAGTGATAAGTGTCTCTGGAACTTCACCTCAGCCAGCTGTTCCAATTGTGCTGAAGGAACACTTCCCACTTGCACCTATGACTATATTCCTCCCCCTACTCTCCTTTTAGCTTTACTTCTAAGTTAGGTCACAATGCCACAGCACCTTCTAGTTATAGCACTATTATTGATCTCTTAAAGACACCACTATCCCCAGGAAGCTTAATGTGTAACCATTCTGATGCTTGGTTGGGGCATCTATACCCAGATCCTCTTATGAACTGGCCCCATCTGTGCCCCCAAAGGCTACACCTTCCTTTGTGGGATTGGTGGACTAAGTGGCAAAGATTCTGGGGAAGAGGTGAAACCACATGGCAAGACCCCAGAACAACCATCCTGGCCACCCATTGCTTAACACTGAGGTTTTGGGGTATGTACCCTTAGATTTTTAGCACCCCCTTTTCCATTTTCAATGCCACAAAGCCCAAGGCTTCCACCTTGAAAAGGGCAAAGCATGGATTCTGGGGAAATGTTCTCTAGTTCCTTAAGAAAGAAGCAGAGTATCTCATGCCCTGGTATGGTCCCCTACAACATGAACTTATTCTCTCTAACCTTAAAGAGAACATTCACCAATTGCAAGTGAGACAGCTTATAGTCTCTGGGAAATACAGCAATCTTTGGATTCCCTAGCAAAAGTGGTCCTAGATAACAGAATAACCCTAGACTACCTGCTTGCCTCTAGCTGGGGTGTATGCACCCTAGCAAACACTCCTTGTTGTATGTACATCAACAACTCTGGGCAGATAGAGATCCATACTGAATGTATTTTAGAAAAGACTAGTTGGATGCAAGAAATCCATGATAACCTCAGTGTCCCAAAATCACCTTCTTCATGGAGATCCTGGCTCCTTTCACTACTAGCCCCTATACTTATACCCCTCCTGATTATATTCATTTTATTCCTGTTTGGTCCTTGTTTGCTTAACCTCTTTGCCATATTTGTCTCCTCCAGGCTCCAGACCATCAACTTCTAACTGACTGCTCAGGCTGCATTCCCACCTCCAACCCAGTCAAAGATTTTTAGCCCACTGGACCTGGCATCAGTCAGGTTCCAAAGTCTGATGCCTTGAACATGATCCAGTGAGGGAGGGACAGCTCTATGGCCCTTATCAGCAGGAAGCAATTTCAGAAGCTGAGGCTTTTGCCCCTTACCCCAAAAGATTCTGGGTCCCATTTGTTTGAAAGGGGAATGATGGGGTGATGAGACCTGGACCTAAAAAAAGACCATGTCTTTGAAAGCAACTTAGTTGCTGAATTTTCCCACAGATTTCAGCATCTGAGATCACTGGCCTCATCCTTGAGGCATCTGACCCAGCCCAGCCCAGACCAGACCATCTAAATACTCAACAGTCCTTTCACAGTATCTCTTGGCCCACCAGGAACCACTCAATACTCCTTTCACAGTCCTTTGGACCCACCCCAGACCTCTTAAGTTTTTTCACTCATACCTCACCCTCCCCAGGCTATTTACTACTCCTTAATCCCATCCAGATCTTTTTACTGTTCTTTTTTTTTAATATATAAATATCAATCTCACCCCTATCAAGGCATAGATTCAATATGAATCTCACCTGAACTATTGATTTTACAATAAATCTTGCTACTTTGACCAAAAGAAGGCTTGAGTGCTTGAATTCTTTCCAGGCAGACTCATCCTGTACCCTGACATTTTGAGGTTCTCAGCAACCCCAAACCACATCAGACACATGTAACAAAATACCCAGCACCAGAAAAACTCTTACACTATAACAGAGGATACAGTGAAAACATCACTGGTACTGGAGTCAGATGTCCTAGGTGAAAATTCTACCACAAGCAAGTCACTTAATCTCTATGGAACACAGTTTCCTCACCAATAAAAGGGGTGATTTGAGGTCTCTTGTACTTCTAGACCTGTGATCCCATAAGTATAACATTTCTGGGCTTATAAAGCTTCAAGAAAACATACTTCAATTTGTTTCCCTGTACCCAGGGCACATTGTAGGGGCACATAGATTGGATCTATGTTTCCATTGATGTAGGCATTCCTGACTCAAGGAATTCCCTTGACCAACTCACAATAGTACTTTCTCTGTACCTCAGTGTTGAAGAGTTGATAGAGTCCAAAATGACTTGCCCAAGTTTATGTAAGAAACAGGACTTGAGCCCACATCTCCTTGGTTTCAAAGCAGACTCTTTATCCACTATGTCAAAGCTATCTCTCCTTGTACATAGTAGGCACTTAATAAATGCTTACTGAATGAATGAGTGAGAAATCAATCCATAATAATTGAATGTGTATATTGACACTCTATAGGAAAGTGATAGATAACATGATCTAATTACTAGGTTCTGGCAGAACCAGCTTTAGATTTGAAGTTAGAAGGTCCGAGTTTGAGTCTTAGTTTAGCCACTTTCTAGCTATGAGATCCTGAACTGTTGTTGTTCATCCTTCCTTCTCAAAGAGGACCAATGACATCATAAGGATGATGTCTTGGCTTGCCAGTGAATTGGATTTAAGGGAAGCAGGGCAGCCCAAAGTCCTCAGCCTTTTTCCTCAAGAGTCATCAAAGTTCAGTGACAAGACAAATGTCAAGATGACTGGTGATGGCCCTGGATGCAGTGAGAGACCTTGACCTTCCTTAATTAAGGCCTTTCCCAGGTCTCAGTTTGTCTGAAGCAACACCTATTCAATGACAAAGGGGTAGGTAAAAATTAAGACAAAAGATGGCCTAATTTACCATCACAAAAATATCTATCTGTGAGGGGAAGACCTTCAAAGTTTCTGGCCAGAACAAAAAACAATTGCTATTCACACTCATTCTAAGCTACCAAAACATAAACAATGAGCCACAGTGGCTTGGGCTGGGGTCTATTACCTGGACCTTCAGTGAAGCCAGAATGCTTTGGGTTTAAAGCCTTAGGCAACTAGCTCCATTTGAAACACAATGGGCTTTTTAAAATCCTGTTTTTTCAGAACTATATTTCAAAAAATCATAAGTGAAAACTGTGTAGGAGTAAAGCTTAATTATCCCAACTTTTAAAAAACCATGAAAATATAAATATATAAATTAGATTTGAAAATTTTTTAAAAACCTAGCTCCCAAACCCCAAAATATCTTAGTCTTAGGACTTGATTCAATCTTCACAATATTATCCACAAACAAGTATATCTAGAGAAACTAATCACTAATGTTTTGCAAATAAGTGGGCACACTTAACACACCATGGTACAGTGTAAACATAACTTTTACATGCACTAAGAAACCAAAATATTGGTGTGACTTGCTTTATTGATAGTTACTTTATTGAAATGGCCTGCAACTGAACCCACAATATCACCAAAGTATGTGTGTATAGTTATAGTATACTAAAAAGAGTAAGTCACTTACCATATCTGAGCCTTGATTTCCTCATTTGTACTACCAACCTTATATGATTATTGTGAAACTCAAATGAAGTAATATTTGGAAAGGGCTTGGTAAATCTTAAATATGTATATTATGTTATTTTAGTTTTTGTTCTGGATCTGTTTCATCAGTATAGAAAAACACCACCCCACCCTCTTTACCACTTTAAAGAGTTGCCTAGGCACCAAGAATAATGTGTTACTGTTCAGTCATGTCTGACTCTCCGTGACTCTATTCAAGGTTTTCTTGACCAAAGTACTGGAGTGGTTTGCCATTTCCTTCTCCAGCTCATTTTACAGATGAGGAAACTCAGGGAAACAGGGTTAAGTGACTTGCCCAGAATCATATAACTATTAAGTGTCTGAGACCAGATTTGAATTCAGGTCTTACTGACTCCAGGCCTGGCACTCTATCCACTGTGCCACCTCACTGCCCTTAAGAATAATGGCTTGCATGTATACAGAACTTTAGGTTTGTAAAGCCCTTTATATATATTATCTCATTTGAACTTTACAACAACCCTGGTGATTAGGTGCTGCTATTATCTCCATTTAACAGATGAGGAAGCTGAGGCAGATAGAAGTTGTGACTTGCCTAGGGTCACATAGCCAATATATATGAGTGTTGGGATTTGAACCTAGGTCTTCCTAACTCTGAGGATAGCTCTCCATCCACTATTCCATGCTGCCTCTCACTATTATTTCTACAAAATAAGGATTAGACTTGGTCCCTGCTCTCAAGTAGCTTACAATCTAGCTATGGAGACAAGATAACATACTTAAAACAATTAGTAGACAATATAAAGTGGTCTCTAATTTTGATAAACTATATAGCATCAATCATCCCCTAGTAATATAAATTTTGCCTCTGAGCCAGAAAGACTTGAGTTCAAGTACCACCTGGCATATATCTTGGCTATGTGACCCTAAGCAAATAGCTAAGACTTTTAAGTTGCAGAGAAGGTTCTGACTTGAATTGGTAGAATTTCTTCATCTGGGAGATCTATATCAATAAAATCACAAGCCCAGGCCATATCTTCCTATGTGGTACTAACCGAAAGCCACAATGCCTCTGCTACCTCTTGAATATTTTGGGGGGCTTCTTAGTAACTTCTTTCCAAAACCTCCATTTTGTGGAAGTGTCACCAAGTATCCAACCTTCATTCTTCTGAGTCTTCCTCCCCCGCTCATTTTAGTTCCCCTTCTTGAGGGCAAGGACCATCTTTTTTTTTTGCTTATTTTTTTTTTTTTATCATTAGGACTGTATCTATTACATAGTAAGCATTTAATAAATGCTTTTTGACTTACTATGGAAATTAATTGAAATGAGACAACAGCAAGGGCTAGAGTAGTTAGATAAAGCTACCTGAGGCCTGGCAGCTTCTCAGCATTATGCTAAATGCTGGGAGTTACCAAAGAAATTTAAAAACAGAGCCTTGATGGGGAGCTAGGATCAACGCAAATGAAGCCACTAGGGGACAATATAAGGCTGTTATTTTAAAGTAACACATTGTATAACGTATAACATTGAGTCATATATAATGTGAAGAGCTGTAGGAATTCAGAAAAAAAATATGAGTATAATGGAATATTCCTGTGCTATAAGAAATTATGAAACTGACATTTATAGAAAAACTGGGAAGATTTCTCTGAACTGACTCAGAATTAAATGAGCAGAACCAGAAAAACAATTTATACAATGAAACATTATAAGAAAAACATTTTGAAAGACTTTGGAACTCCGATAAGTATAATGACAAATCATGATTCCGGAAGACAGAACATGGAACACAGTACTAAAATTACTGCCAGAGAAGTGATGGACTTAAAACAAAGAATGAGAAATACATTTTTGAGAAGCCAATATGAGATTTTCTTTTGTTTGACTACACTTATTTGTTGCAAGAATTTTAGTTTTTTATCAGTTGCTCAAGGGTAGGCGAAGCTAATATAATAAAAATGACAATTCTACCTAAGCTAATTTACTTATTCAGTGCCATACCAATCAAACTACCAAAAAATTATTTTATAGGGCTAGAAAAAATAATAACAAAATTCATCTGGAAGAACAAAAGGTCCAGAATATCCATTAATTAATGAAGAAATACTAAGGAAGGTGGCCTAGCCATATCAGATCTTGAATTGTATTATAAAGCAGCAATCATCAAAACTACTTGATACTGGCTAAGAAATAGAGTGGTGGATCAGTGGAATAGGTTAGGTGCACAAAACACAGTAGTCAATGACTATAGTAATCTAATGTTTGAAAAACCCAAAGACCCATGCTTTTGGGATAAGAACTCACTATTTGGGAAAAAAATTGCTGAGAATACTGGAAAAGAGTATGGCAGAAACTAGGCATAGACCAAAATCTTATACCTTATACCAAAATTAAGTCAAAATGGGTGCACAATGTAGATGTAAAGGCTGATACTATAAGCAAACTGAGAGAGCAAGGAATAGTTTATATGTCAGATTTATGGAGAACACAAGAATTTATGACCGAACAGGAGATAGAGAACATTATAAAATACAAAATAGATAATTTTGAATACATTAAATTGAAAAGTTTTGGCACAAATACAGCCAATGCAACCAAGATCAGGAGGGAAGCAGAAAACTGAGAATTTTTGCAACCAGTGTCTCTGATAAGGGCCTCATTTCTAAAATATATAGAGAACTAAATCAAATTTATAAGAATACAAGTCATTCCTTAATTGATAAATGGTCAAAGGATATGAATAA